GGCATTGAGAACGGCCCCAGCCGGCTCCCTCCCCGCGCGCCGGAGCCCGCAGCCCTCCCTGGAGTCACATCTCCACTCCTCCCCGGGCCGTTCAGGGCCCACGCGGTGCCCAGGAAACGAGGGGACCGGCCATGCCTGGCCCAGCTCCGTCAGCTCCCCACAGCTCTGTGCCAGGGAAGGCCAGGGCACTGTCCTGCACAGCAAAAGCCCAGCCTCCAGCTTGGCACACCGAGCCCAGCTCCAGCAACATGCCCAGCCTGCAAGACTGAGCTGGCTTCAGCAAGGCTGAGGTTGGCAAGGGGGCTGGTGGCACTTGTTTGCCAGAGATCCATGGCTGGGCAGGACTGGGGATTTGGGTCAGAGGGCTCTGCCCTTGCCGCAGGCTGCAGAATCCCAGCAAAGAGTGGCAGCCAGAGAGCCTGCACTGCTGGCCGGAGCCCACTGGATGCAGGGCACTCACCCCCGGCATGAAGCTCATCCCATGACCTGTGTGCTCAGCACGAACCTGGGCTCACCTGGGCTGGACAAGTTGCAGATGCAGTTGTACAAGGTGACATCTTCACTCCTGTACTGCCAGTTGATGGGGTAGGTGTCTGCCAGGCTCACCATCTTCTTCATGGAGTCATAAATGAATATCAGGCTGATGAGGGCACAGAAGCCTTCTTCAGTGAAGCGGGTGAAATACTGCACCAGGTAGCTCGCTTCAGTGGCGACCAAGACCAAGCCAAAAAAGGCCACCCAGAGGCCAATCCAGAGTCGAAACTCCAGGTAGTCCAGGTTGTAATCCCTGGTGGGAAAGGTTGGCCTAAACTTTCAGTGCAACACACACCTGCCAGCATGCTGGCCCTGCTCACCCAGAGGTTGTGTCCGAATCATGGCCAGAATCAGGGATTTTGGCAGCCCAGCAGCAAGCATGAGGCTGCAGCAGCTGCCCCTGCACAGCCACCCCACCAGCAGGCTACTTACTCACTACAGGAGAAGAGGAGGCGCTCGAAGACCAGCATAGGGCCAGTGCTGCTCAGGATGGTCAGAGGCTGGCCAGCAAAGAGGCAAAAGATGGATCCAGCAAAGGCAGTGCCCAGGAAGCTCTCCAGCACACCCTGAAATGCAGAAGGAAATGGTGCCAGGCCCTAAACGTGCAGAAGGGGCTGGGAGTCCCAGGCCCACCAGGGCAATGGGCCACAGGCAGCTCCCTGCCTGTCCCCACCTCACCAGCCTGATGAAGGCCCCCAGTGACATAAGTGCAGCAGGCTGCAGTCCCGCGAGCCAGAGGCAGCTCTTGGGAGGGAAGGGGATGCAGGGTACCCAGGCCCAGTGCTGCTGGCTAGGAGGGAGCCTGGCACAGAGGGCAGCCAGCGGCCCACGCTCTCCTGCAAGCCCATGGAGCTGGAGCCCCACAGCATCAAGGCCAAACAGGGCTGCCCAGCTGGTTGGAGAGTTACAGCTCCAGCAGGGCTAGAGGTGATGTCCTCCTCACTACAGATTGCATCGTCCTGGCCACTGCATCTTGCTGACACCCTCATGGAGGGGACAGGGAGGAGCCTGAGCAGTCCTTGAGGAAGTGGAACCTCCTGATGTTTTTTTAGCGCTAGGCCTGGCTGCACTAAGCCCTGCTCAGCTTGGGCTGTAACCACTTGCCCTGCTGGTTACTGTGCAAGCAGGGCAATTGGAGTGTGATTTCCCCATGGCAGAGTGAGTCTTATGGTCATCTACTGCCCTGCAGGTCCAATCTGCCATGTGTGAACTGGACAGAAACATCTGAGACAGCCAGACAGTGGGCCAGGAGCCACGGCCTTCTGCTAGCCACTGAAGACTTGTTGGACATGTGGAGCTGTCCCAGGGGCTGTGGTTCCCCTGAGCTCGCAGCTGGGGAGCCTGCCCTGAGTCTCCCTTCTTCATGGTCTCCCAATGGCCCAGCAGGCAGGCCAGCATCCCGGCTGTCACCGCAGGGCTGGGTGACAAGCAGGAGGCAAGACTGGGCCATGGCGTGCCCTGAATATCCACCGCCTCCTGCAGGAATAGCTGCCCCAGGGCAGGACAGGGCAGGGAGAAGCTCTGGCATGCAGCAATTCTGGAGAAGGCAGGGAAAGATGCAGGGTTTGGGCAACGCTCAGGATGCACAGGGCCAGGTCATCACTCCATGGGCACAAATTATAGGTGAGGTCAAGCAAGAGCTTTGCCCAGTCTGAGAGGAGCAGTGTGTGAGCAGCTGAAGCACACAGGGTGTTTCCCCTCAGCAACACCACCACGCGGGAGGCACCTTGCACCAGCGAGACCCATGTGCCCACCCTGCGGAGAGGCCCTCACGCAGAGACACACCAACCTGCATGTTATCAGTCGCATCCCCCAGCATGCCCCCAAAGGTGATGGCGTTGGTGACCGTTGCCAGGTAGATGTACAGGACTGCAGAAAGGCACTGGATGTGCAGGGCGTCAGAAAAGTCACTCCAGTACCAAGGTGCTTTCCTCCGAATGTCTCTGAGCAGCCCTCCGAAGAGCCTGCAGCCAGCACAGGATTAAGTCTAAGACCAGACTTAGTCTAAGACCAGTCTTAAGTCTTGCTCCCGTCAGCCAGACCCACATTAGACTTAGGCCAAATCCAGTCAGACAGAGTTGCAGGGGGACAAGGCATCCTTCCCATGCTCAGGGCTGCAGTTTGGACGAGGTGACCCTGAATCTTTCCTTACTAAACCAGGACTGAGGAGGCAGCCCAAGGCATTCACCCACTCTGCTCTGTTGCAAAGAGCAGCCTGACAGCCCAGAGCTGTTGTGTCTCCCATCAGCATCAAGTCCCCAGTGCACTGACCTTCCTGTCCTCTCCAGCTCGTCACTGAAGTGCGGGTGCCCTGCGCCAGATCTGTCCTCAGCGGGTCCCTTGTTGCAGGGAGCTTTCCACTCCCGCAGGTGCATGGAGATCCTGAGACAGAGCCAAGAGGAACCTGAACAGGCAGCTTTCAGAGCAGAGCTGTTGGGGCCTGCCTGCATTCACGCACCCCTTGCACTCTGCAAGGGGACAGGGAGGATGGCGAGTGGACAGAGATGCAACTGGAGCTGGTGAGACCTTGTAGATCACCTTGCAATGAGAAGGAGGAGCAGGACTCCCCTCTGCCCTCCGGCATTCAAGCCCTTCAATAAACCCTAGCAGGACTGGTTTTGGTAGCGGAGCAGGAGAAGTCTTGCTTGGAGGATGAGATTCACACCTGCTTGCTGAAACCCAGGTTTCTGGTGGTTCCTGCAGGCACAGCTCACAGAGTGGACTAGCCGCTCCCTCCCTGGTGACGGCCGCATGGGACAGCAGGACTAACTGTCCGGGGCAGTCCTGCAGTTGGCATCAGCCACCGCTGCAGAGGGGCTTGGCTGGGAGAACTTCACTGTCCAAGGTTGGATATGGAGTGGCTGCAGCCTCACAGAGCCCAGGACTCTAGCGCCGCAGACCCTTAGCAGAGTTTGCTGAGGGGACCCTCTTCATGGCTCCCCAGAGGCTGCAGGCAGCCTTTCCCCCAGGATACCTTTTGTGTGGAGCGGGCAGGCACTTTGGTGGAGGGATTCGGGTGCTGGGGTCCCATTTCCCAGGAGGCAGCACAGTCAGCTCTTCCAGGAACTCGTCGATCCCTGCGATGAGGTCTTCTCGTTGCTCAGCCTGCTGGGCGACCCTTTGGAAGACCTGCAGAGAAGTGTGGAGGATTAGTCACTGAATCCCTGTGTTCAGTTACTCAGAGCCTTGCTCCCAGAAGGCAGACATCACTGAAAGAGGCAGTCATCCAATCCAATGCCCAACTGCTCTTAAATCTTATAGATTCCCCCAAAATCTTTTTTCCTGGGCGAGAGAGATGGCCTGCTCACCCTTCCTTCCCTGCTGCAGCCTGTTGAGGAACCTTGGAGTGCTCGGTGCAGCCTCATCCCAGCCCTGTCCCACCTGTGAGTGCCTGTGGCATTAACTGCACCCATGCTCACCTCATCTGTCAGCAGCGTGGCCATGGCCCGTCCGATCTCATGGTAGGCTTTAGCTTTGGCTCGTGGGCCCAGCAGGATGAAGAGAAACCTACAGAGAACAAAGTAACCCATGAATGTCTCTGTCTGGTAGACCTCTCTTCTCCCGGATGTGCTTCTCCTGAGGGCAGGGCCTAGAGAGCCAAGTTCTGCAGGCTTGAGGGGCTGCTAATGCTAAATGGTTCCCCCCAGTCACAGGTGGGTATCTGCTTTGATCTGGGGCAGTCAGTGGGCAGAGGAGAGGGACACTCACCTTCTGCCTTGTGTTTGGGCACCCTGTTCATGCAGGAGACTGTGGGACACTGTGACTGAAGTCAGCTCGCAGGGTCCATGGAGACTCGGGCTGCTGTGAGGAGCAGGCTGGCTTTTTGGGGCAGAGTGGGGACAGCTGCTGGGGACATGTGTGGGTTCATGCTCAATAGGGGTGTTCATGCTTGCAGGGAGGACATAGGAACACCACCACTGGGAAGGAGAGCCGGCCAACTGCATGGGAATCCAGGTTCGGTAAGACTAGGAGGACATGGGAGGAGTTTGGATGGAGAACTGAAAACTTTTGAGAAAATATAGCTAAAATTTCACACCTGGGAGGGGAACAAAATAAAACCCATGAGAGCAGAGAAAGAAGGGAGGGAAAGGAGGGGAAAGTGTCAGAGAGAGAACAGAGGTGGTAGACGTTACACAAGCAGGAGTTTATTCCTAGAAGGCCTATGGAGGGAGAACGCACCCGAACCAAACCCTCCACCCCTCTGCAAAACTTGGAAAAAATGGCTACAGTCGTGGTAGCCAGGGGCTGCGGAGTGGCTATAGCCACCACAGGCTGACCAAGCACCCAGGGACAGGTCAGGGAACCGGCCGAAGGCAGCTCCGAAGAGCTTGTCCCAGTCCTGCCATGTGGTGCTGCTCTGTGCCCCAAGTGACCAGGAGGTGGCAATGTCCCTCCTGGGCCCTGCCTGCCTCCTCGGCGCTTCCTAAGGAAGTCCTCAGGTCAGAGGAAGACCCCGAGCTTTCCTGTGAGGGCTTTGAACAAAGCATTGTTCAAGCACAGAAAAACATCTCCTGCCACTGCTGCTTTTCTCCTAGACCAACAATGCCATGGTTTAAGACTTGAAACACCCTGATGCTTCAGAAAGCTTGGCCAGCTCGACAGGAGAGAGGCAGGAGGCAGAGAGAGGCCTAGAAATCTCCCTCCCTTGGGCAGTTGGGCACTGCATGCAGACCTTCCTAAAGATGACGGTGAATGCTGAGACCAGGTGAGGACAGCCAGAAAACATCTCCCCATATTGCCTAATAACTGATGACTCTGCTCAAAGCCTGTCCCAGCTGGGATGGTGTGCAGGCTTCTAAGGAGCTGTGAAAAACAGAACGGGAAGCAGCAAGCTGAGGCCCTGGGGCTTTCCTGCAGGCTCTGCACATGCCTTTGAGAGTCTTAAAATTTGCTTTTAACAAGCAAAGTGCTAACCTGTTGCCAAGTCTAAATGGCATTAGGGCATTCAGTGCCCCCAGCTTCAGAGGCAGAGCGATGCAGGAGGGGAGACCAGCAGCAAAGGTGGCTGCAGGGTCGGGAGCAGGGGCTGCAGGGCTACTCGTTATGTTCTCGTTACCTGCTGGGGAGAGCGATTTCGGCGAGTGCGCCGAGGGCCACCACCTCCTTGAGGCGAATGAAGGCGATGAAGGGCTTCTCCAGGAAGTCCACTTCACCAACGAGCACACTGGCTACCTCCGCCCCTGGCGGGAGCTTCTTCTTGAATTTGTTTTTCAGCTGAAATGAAATGCAAAGCAAAGTTCATATGAGACGATACCTGCCACAGTATCATCCTGTGCTGCAGCGGAGTCACTTTTCCTCTGCTCAGTCACTGGGGCTCAGGATGTGACAGCCGCCCCGGTGTCCGGGCCCCACTGGCAGCAAGCCCAAGCCACCACATCACTTCTGGCTTCTAGCCCTGCCGGCTGTCTCATGTCCCCACTTTGCCTCCCTGTCTCCTGCTGAGCCCCATGGCCCTGGGGAATCCTGCCTCCCTCACGGAGAGGATACATCGAAGGGACTTGGTCTTGTAGAAACACACAGATCCGTAAGTGCAGAAGACCAGACCCCATAAGACCTGGACCAGCATCACTTTACTGTAATACTAATGCTATTTGTAGGCAGAAATTTTCAGTTTGTTTGGCCAAGTTGATACTTTTTTTTTCCCTTCCACTGACAAGCTGGTCTTCCTGCCTAGCTCCATCTTCTCTCACCTGCTCCTTGAGAGGTGTTTCTGAGAGTTCAGTTCTGGGCTCAGGCAGTTTTTTGGCCTTCTCTGCAAAGAAAAGGGACGAGCATCAAAATACAGAGTTGAGCAAATGGGCAGCACTGAGGAGGGTCGGGGCCAGCACGGTGCCCACCTCTGCAGGGGGAGAGGCCGAGCCGGGCCAGTGTCCGCAGCGGCGGCGTGGCCGTGTGGTGCCGGGGCTGTTGGAGCCGCACGGCCGCCAGGCGCTGCCTCAGCTCGGGCCGCAGGGCTCGCTCCACGGGCTGCCCGGAAAGCGCCTTGTCTGCAATGCAGAAGGAGATGGCACTGAGTCCCTGCATGTGCCACCGTCCTGCCAGGGGTCGGCACCCAGCCGCAAGCCCGTGGGGGTTGGCCCCTGGCCTGCAGCTTCGCATGGGGCTCGGCCAGGGAATAAAACCCTTTTCCTGGGCCACCCCAGAGAGCCACCCCAGGTAGACAGCTATCAAGTGCTAGCATTTTTATTTGGAGATCGCCCAGTAACCTGGCCCCACTCCCGGGAACAGCCCATCCCGCGAGGTGCCCTTTGCCTTCCTCACATACCAATTATTTCCTTGAAACTGCGGGCATCCAAATCCAGGAGGACTGTCCCCTCCTGCAGGCACATCCTGAGCTCAAAGAGGCTGTGCAGGAGGAGCGCCGTGACATGGGGCGCGCTCCAACGCTCCCCTCCATCCTCCACCTTCTCCTCGAACTTTATCCACCTGCCAGGGAGGATGCGCTGGGTCAGCAGCCGGCAACTGGCTCTCCTGGGCGGCGGGAGCCAAAGACCAGGCCCATTCCGGAGCTCGGCGCTGGGTTTGCATTAGCCAGGAGGGGATCCAGGGGCCGGAGGGTGGTGGTGGGGACAAGTGAGCGGCAGCACCATGGGGGACAGAGGGCCCTTGGGCACCGGGCCAGGCAGCACAGGCTCAGGGCAACAGCCTACAGGGCAGCCTGAGCAGGGATGTGCCCTCACCAGCCGCAGCCTTCCCTGTGTGTCCCGCGCGTTGCTCTCATCTCTTGGCTATCAGGATTTCACGAGTCCCTGCAGGCAGCAGCGCTCGCTAGAGGCCGAGGGGAAGCATCTGAAGCTATTTGCCACAGTCAGGTCGTGCCAAGTATTCAAAGGCCGGCACGCACAGAGCCCGCCTTTGTGCGCGAGGCCGGGCCGGCTGCCTGTGCTGCAGGGCCAGAGCAGGGCCAGCAGAACGGGTTCCCCTGGGCCGGCAATGCCAGCCCCCTCCTCGGCACAGGCTGGAGGGCAGCGTGTGGAGTCCCCGGAGCCTGGGAGCCGCGGCGAGGAGCAGAGGACTGGGGAGAGTTGTCCCAGCTTGAGGCTTTGCAGCTCTGGGCCACTGGTCCCTGGTTCACCCGCCAAGCGCCAGCGCAGGCGCCACATGGTGGGACCTCCCATGGCATCTCCAGGTGCTCCTTCCCCATGGCTGCAGGGAACAGCCCCACCAGGGCTGTCCCTGCCCTCGGCTGTCCCGTGACTCCCAGCCAGGCCTGCCCCAAGCTGCTGCTCTCTGCCTTTGCCTCCTCCCTGACACCGGCCATTCCGTCTCCTCTGGCCTCTCACCCCTGGATTATTTCCCGCTCCTGGTGTCTCCACACACCTGAGCCATTTCTAAATTCTGCTCCTACTTTCTCCCTACGTCTCAGCTTTTACCTGGCAGATCTCGTCCTATGGTCAAGCCTTTTTTTTTTTTTTTTCCCCAGGTCCTTCCTGCATCCTTTAGATAAGAAAACAAGTTGTCCATCCCAGGACAGGCCAGTGCAGGTTTCAAGGTATGTGCACCAGACCAGACACCCAACACTGGCTCCTAAGGTGAGATTTGACCCTCTTTTCTCGGCCCCTGAGCTGTCTCAGCCTCTTCACAGAGAGCCTCTTTCTTTGCCTGGTCATTGGGGAAGGTTACATCCCTTTCTGGGGAAGAGCTACCCAGTGCAGCGGGACTGCTTGTGCTTTCCACCCCGTCTCTCCCTTTGATGGTAAATCTTTGCAGGGTGTATCTTTCCCCTCAGCTCTCCCATTACACCCCCTTTATCTCCCTGCTGTGATCGTACCACTATGCCTTTCATCCTGCTTCAGATGGGGAGTTGCATCAGGCTAGTGCTCAGGCCGGGGGAACTGAGGAAGGGCTGTCCCCTCCCAGCCCAGGGCATGGTCTCTGGAGCCTCGGAGAGGCAGAAAATGCAGAAGGAGAACTAAGGAAATAGGCATTTCAGCTCTATTTGAAGCACCCAGTTACAGGCTGTGGCCCTGCCTGACACCATGCTGCGGTGGTGGCAGAAGCTTTCACATGAAATGAGTCATCTGCAACAGGGAAGAATTTCTTGGAAGGCGCAGTCTGGACATCGGAGGGGATAGCGCAGACTGAGCACCCCGGATTTGGCGCTGGACCTGCTGTTGAGCAAGGACTGCTTTGCAAGGCAGGGAAAACCCTCCCATAGCACTGCCAGGCCGGAGAGCATGGTGCTGCTGGAAGCACCCAGGACGTGTGATTAATGAGTCATCTGCAACAGGGAAGAATTTCTTGGAAGGCGCAGTCTGGACATCGGAGGGGATAGCGCAGACTGAGCACCCCGGATTTGGCGCTGGACCTGCTGTTGAGCAAGGACTGCTTTGCAAGGCAGGGAAAACCCTCCCATAGCACTGCCAGGCCGGAGAGCATGGTGCTGCTGGAAGCACCCAGGACGTGTGATTTTTAAGGCTGTTTAAGCCGAGGTTCCCCGCGCACCACCGGCTGGGCTGGCCCCTGCAGGGAGGTACCCACCTGGCCGTCTCTCTCCACTCCAGCCCCGCTGGGCCACAGAGCAGCTCGTTGAGCTGGACGAAGAGCAGAGGGCACCGTCTGT